GATGGATGGATGGATGGATGGATGGATGGGAAGGTGGATAGGTAGATGGATGGATGGGTAGGTGGGTGGATAGATGGACAGGTGAGTGGATGGATGGGTGGATGGATGGGGCATCCCGGAAGGGTTTGAAGCAGCAGTGCCTTGGTGAGGTTTTCTTTTTAGAGAGGGACTTTGAGGGTGATGAGCTGTTTCACAGGAAGCTGCTATACTTACGCAGGGGAGGAAGTGGTGAATATGCCAATCTAGGGCCTTGGGTGGGTGAGCAGAAAAGGATATTGTGGGTTTGGGAAATATTTGTTGTTTTGTTGTTAGGTACTATCGAGTCGGCTTCGACTCATAGTGACTCTGTGCACAACAGAACGAAACACTGCACAGTGGCCCTGCACTGTCCTCCCAATTGTCTCCATGCCTGAGCCCATTGGTGCAGCCATTGTGTCAATCCATCTCATTGAGGATCTTGGAAAATATTTAGGAGTTGGGAATGGCAAAACTGGTTACTTCATGATGGACGAAGGCGAGGGAGGAAGCGAAGCAGAAGGCCAGCATCCAACAGGAGTGGCCAGGCAGATGGTGAGGAAACTTCCAGGAATCGATTAGGAAAGAAAATGGTGGACCTGATGTGGCATCAGGAAGCTGCCTAGGTATATATTTGGCCTGGGAGAGGTCTGGTAGTCACCAGAGTGTAGATGGGGTTGAAATCAGACAGTGTGTGGAGGACAGAGTGAACAAGCACCCGTGGGTCTCCACGTGGCTCCTCCAGCTCCAAGGCTCTGGCTGCATCAGCATAGCTCTGTGTGTCTTCTCCACAGCAATGTCTCCCAGGGAGTGAGCCTGTGTCCCACCTCTAGCGAGCTAGTTATCTCTTTGGAGCCTCCAAATGAGGTCATCAAGCGGTGACATGATTGACAGGCTAAACTCCACCCCGTTGCTCCTAATCATCTCGAGTTGATAACAGATGGTGCAACGACCACACTGTGGAACCATCCAGCCCTGGCTCATGGGTAAGCTGAGGTTGTAACTGAAGACAATGAAAACAAGCCCCTGAGCGGAAATATAAGACACTGAGGATGGACCATCCCAAGTGATGAAACGTCTCAAGAATGGATTTGAGACTTTGAACCCTGATGACCACGCTGCTGTTAGAAGCCTTTGAGTCTGTTCTGACCCAGTGACCCTGTGTACCACAGAACAAAACAATGCCCGGCCCTGTGCCCTTCTCACCATTGTCCTTATGTCTGAGCCCATGAGTGCAACCATTGTGTCACGGCGTCGTGTTGAGACTCTTCCTCTTTTTTGCTGCCCCTCTACTGTGCCGAGCATGCCCTTCTCCGTGGATGGGTCTCTCCTGACAACATGTCCAAAGTATGTAAGAAGAAGTCTCTCCATCTTTGCCCCTATGGAGCAATCTGGCTGTACTTCTTCCAAGACAGGTTGGTTTGCCCTTTTAGCAGTCCACGGTAGTTTCCATGGTCTTCTCCAGGACCATCATTCAAAGGCATCGATTCTTCGTCGGTCTTCTTATTCAATGTCCAACTTTCACATGCATAGGAGGCAATAGGAAACCCCATGACTTGGATCAGGGGCACCTTAGTCCTCAGAGTGACATCCTTGCTTTTCGACACCCTAAAGAGATCTTGTGCAGCAGATTTACATAATGCAGCTCATCTTTAGGTTTCTTGACTGCTGTTTCCATGAGCATTGATTACGGATCCAAGCAAGATGAAATCCTTGACAACTTCCATCTGTCCTCCATTTATCATGATGTTGCATGGATAATGCTCAGGGGCATGGGGGTGGGGAGGCTAGTGTGGTATGGGAGGAGCTTGTGAGGTCGGAGAGCTAGGTGGGGGCGAGGGAGAGCTGGGGAGGTGGGGGAGTTGAGGAAACAGGGTATCTGTGAGGGAGAGCTTGGGAAATGGGGGAACCGGATAGAAAGGCCAGGGGTGGGAGAGTTTGAGTTAGAGGGTAGGTTAGGGGGTGGGGGTAAGGAGTTGGTGTGGGGGGCTTGCCTAGAGGACAGACTATCGGGAATTGAAGTCCAGGTAAGAGGAGGGTGGCTTTGGGTCAGACTAGGCTCTGGCTTGTTTTAGAGGCACGTAGGAAAGGTCAGTCGTTCGAAACCACCAGCCACTCCATGGGAGAAAGATGAGGCTTTCTACTCCCGTAGAAAGCCACAGGGGCAGTTCTACCTGTCCTATAGGGCCACTGTGAGTCAGAATCGACTCGATGGCAGTGAGATTTGTTTGCTTGCTTCTTGTTTGGTAGGTCAGCTCCCGGGGCAGTGGTGGTACAGAGTGACTTCTCGCCTTCCAGGCCCGAGACCCAGGTGTGAGTCCTAGCGACTCACCTCCCTGATAGCCACCCCGCCTGTCAGCAGAGGCCTGCCTGCTGCCATGGCGTGGGTCAGGTTTCAGCAAAGCTTCCAGACCGAGG